CTATGGTATGAGACTAAGACATATGCTCTAGCCAAAGCTTGAGCTACACGATTCGCATATCGTTTACAAAAAGAGACACTGCAATTACTCTTTGTATTAATAATTTCTCTAATATCCTCCAGAAATAAATCAATATACGAAAAGTCTTCCCCTTGCCGGATCCCTTGGACCATTGTGAGTGCATCCGTCTCAAATTCCACATCCTGCCAACATCAATCGCCCCTCCAATAGCATCCCTCAAGCCTGCCTCTTCTATTTCCGCCGGGGACCATCCTACTCTGACCGAAACTCCTCACGCAGTTATGAACTCCCCATGATCATTCCTAGCAACCCATCCCCATGCGGGGATGTCACTATGGATTTGTCAGTGCAGAGGTGTCAATATGGCTGGCAGCGGCGGCAACAATGGCGCAATGACATGGGTGATGGCGTCTGAGATGTCACTGCGGAGTTGTCACTGCAGATGTGTCACTATGGCCGGCGACGGTGACCGGTGGTGGAGGCGACCGACGGTGGTGGTGACTGGTGGCGGCATTGACATGAGTGACAACGTCGAAGATGTCACTGCGGAGATGTCCTGTGAAAATGTCATTGTGAAAATGTCATTGTACATTAGTCGCAATTTTGTCCAAATATAAATGTGATCACTTTTTTGGAAATTAGCTACTTCCCCCGTCCCGCTAAGATTGTCCCAGACAATATTCAGTTGGTCAACACAAATCACTCTTAATCTCTTACTTTATACATCAAATTTTTATCAAATGTGTTGAATATATGGTTTTGTTGATGACTAACCATATAGGAAGAGAACCGCTCCAGGTTCATGATGAGCAAAGGATAGAACTATTATTTCACTAACCATGCAGGTGTACTAATACGAGTTCTTAACTGAACTACAGATGGAACTCGTATGCGTTCTGAGCTTACGATTTCGGCTTGCATAAATATATTGTCCTTTATAAATTAACCTTTTATTAATTTAGTTTTTATGGGAAGAATCCTTGGTCATAAAGGGTTTGTGACCGTAGTCTTTTCTTGGGTTTGGAAAAGTAGTGATCCTTAGTTAAAGGAAAGTTTCCTTTGATAAAATACTCGAATATTCTTGCCACCTTTACATTAGTTGACCAGATCATGTTATATGGACATATAAAAGGGTTTTCTTACTAATTATATCAAATGGGATATTTTCGGTGGATTGCCCAAGCATGTGGGTTGACCAATCATGGCCAAATTGCTTACCATATTCAGCCTTTAGTAATTAATCATTTGATTAGATATGTTGAATAGTGGTGTCTAAATGTGACCCGATTAATCTCACAAAAGGCAAGTAAATTGGTACCATTCTTTAGGTTGCTGAATAAGTTACTCTCCATAATAAGCGTGCTCGATAATTCAAAAATGCTTGAAGTCTTTTGATTATGACTAACGAATGTTTTTAGCTCCAAAAATGATAAGTGATAAATAAGGAAAGGAATTCAAAATTCAGCTTAGCAAGGAAAGGAGCCAACGTTTATCAAAAGGAGAGCTATATATATACACAAGATGGTGGTACATCAGAGTGTGCTCGAGCAGAAAGAGATTAAAAAGAATAATCACTCAAGAGAAAAGATCAAGTCCATAGTGCCTGAAACTGCCTACACGGAGTTCTAGATAGAGTTTTTCTTTTCCCTTTCATATTGTACTTGGAATATTGAGGCTTAATTGGCTAGAGTAGCTGCCTCGGGTTAAGTGTGTGTGAGAGCTTTGTGATAAAGCTGAGAGGCTCTCTACCCGCAAGGTAGAGATGCATAACTCTTCCTAGAGAGGATAGAGTTGGGGAGGCTCAAGGGTAGATTAGGAGAATCACTCTTGTAACTCTTTCAAAGGCTTGTTTAGTGAAGTTGTTTAAAATTCCTCCGAGGGAGGTCGAGGTTTTTTAATCCCTTTGAGCCAAGGGATTTTTCCTCGTTAAATTCTTGTGCACTTTACTATTTTGCAATTCCCTTTATCCCACACTAGAACTCGGCGAAAAACTGCCACGGTTCCACACACACACAATTCACCCCCCCTCTTGTGTTGCTAACCGTTTTCATCAAAATGCAATTCAGGTTTTTGCGACTTTGTAAAGTTTTTAATGTAGATTCTGAATATGTATTTTTGTTTCTCAAAAAATAATTTAAGTGCGGACAGGGATCTGTTTGCTTTATCGTCATTCAAGCATCGTAAACCGAATTGTCCCAAACATAGTGGGACAGAGGTAGTATAATTTAATAATACCAAGGGAAAAATCCCTTGTAACTTTTGATATGTTCTTAATTCATAATAGTCGTAAAGAAATAATAAAAAATAATAAAATATTTATGATAAAAATTTCAAAAAAAATTAAAAAAAAAATATATTGAAAAAGATAAAAAAAAAAACCGCTGCCTCTGCCACCCCCAGCACCACCAACTCTGATCACCGGAGAAAAAATGACAACATGGTTAGTAATGCCATAATAATGTCAGATTTAATGAAAATTTTGGTATTATCAACACTAATAATGTCATTTACTCCATCTGGTAGTGATGGGAGGCGGTGGGAAAGATATCCATTTGTTTTTATGTTTTAAGTTTTTTACCATTTCTTATTAATTTTGAAAAAAAATTAAATTTTTTGAAACTTTTATTTTATAAATGTATTTTTAATCTTTTTACGATTTATTATCATTTTTTACGATTTTATTATGAATTAAAACATTTCATTATGAATTTAATACTCTAATGGATATTTAGGGTTGAAAATGAATGTTTAATTTTATTTTCGAATGATTTAAGGCTTTAATTTTATTTGTGCATTTTAGACAAATTTTAGTTGGGAGATTTCCCTAAATAGGACTAAATAAAATGATAATTGCAACAATAGGAGTTTAAAGTTTAAATTCCCAAAATAGGACTAACTCTTCCTATTCTACCCTTTCCCTTGTTCTTCCTAATAGGATTTTTTTAATAATCATTATAAAACACAAAAAAAAAACAAAAAAAAATTAATATTGTAAAAAATAAATAAAAATAAAATACCGACCTCAACCACAACCTCAGACACCTTCCAGCACTGCCACCTTCGGTCGCTGGAAAAGATTGCTAAATTGGGCAAAAAGTGTCACCGTGATGGCTAATTTGAAAAGAAAGCTGAATATTTTCAAATAGTAAAAATGTCATCTTTATGGCGTTTTCAGATAAATGTGATAATTTTTTTTACACAAGATGACATTTTTTTCGGCGATCGAAGGTGGTGGTGCAGATAGGTGGGGGATGCGGAGGTAGTGACCTACATATTTTTTAAATATTTTTTAGGTATGCTATTTTAATTTTTATATTTGTTTAAGTTTTTTAATTTTTTTAATTTTTACACATTTTTTACGAAGTTTTATGTTTTTAATATAAATAAAACTATGATTTTTTATTAATAAATAAATCTATTCGAAATTATAGGTTGAGGGTAGAATAAGGAAAAAAAAGACATAAATTAGTCCTATTTTATGAATAAAAGTAATAAAGTTCTAATGTAGAATTTTTTAGGGATATTTATCTAAGGATGTTTTTACTTGGACTGTAATTTGCTGGTCTGGTCTGGTCTGGTCTGGTCTGATCTGGTCTGGTCTGGTCTGGTCTGGTCTGGTCTGGTCTGGTAAGGTCTGGTTTCTTTGTATTTTTATAACTATCCAAGTCTGGTCTGGTCTGGTCTGGTTTGGTCTGAACTGGTCTGGTCTGGTCTGGACTGGTCTGGTTTGGGACAAATTACAGTCCAAGTAAAAACATCCTAAGTAGGAGTAAATAAATCCCTAATTGCTAAAATAGGAGCAAAGCTTAAAAGTTCCCTAAATAGGAGTCATTATTTGCAATTAGACAAAAATACCCTAAAGCCTGGCACAACCTGTTGTAGCCTATAGAAAGTAGACCGTTGCCAGTCTCCGGCAACTACGGTCGTCGCCGAACTGACTGCCGTTGCACATCTGACTTCCGGCACCGCAGATCTAATCGCCGCCACCACAGATCTGGCCGTCGCCGCCGTAGATCTTCCCAGATCTGGCGGACAACAGTCGCCGGCCACCGCAGGTCTGGCCGCCCTCGGTGTTGATGCCAACAATTTTACGAGAATTCCAACATGAAATAGGATTGCCATTTTAATGGCATTTTCCAAGAAAAAGATGAAATTTTGAAGAGAAAAAAGCCTTTTTGATGGCATTTTCAGATAACAACTTGGCATTCTTCTCGAACAAAGAATATTGAGAACAACATCTCAATTTTTTTCAACTAGGCAACGGAATAGAAAAGGGGGAGGCAGATCCATGGAAGAAGAGGCTGAGGAGAACAAAGGTTGTGAAAACAAGATACGTACTTTTTGAATTCACTACTTCATGAAGCTCTCTTTATGGCCATTGCCGCTACTCGCTGCACCAAGAAGCTCGTCACTGCAAGCTGAGATGATGACCGGAGAAGAAAGGTTGGCCGCCGCTCGCCGCCGCTCGCCGCCGCTCGCCGCACCTGGAAGCTCACTGATGGAGAGGGGGCGGAGAAGAAAATAGAAGAATGGAAGGAGAAGGTTTGAGCTCAGAAGATGATTAGCCAATGGTTGGTGTGCGTGAGTGAAGGAAACAGAAGAAGGGTAATTTTGGGGGAAAAGTCCTATTTAGGGAAGAAAAATACACTTACTCCTATTTTGGAATTTCAACAACATTTTAGTCCTATTTAAGACAAAATTCCCAATTTTTTTTTACTTTTAGTCCCATTTATGTCTAATACCCGATTTTAATTCTATTTATGACAATTCCTAATAAATATCCATTAATATATTCGGAAAAAGAAGGAGAAAATTTTCTAAATAAGAATAAAAACGTTTTGAAATTCTAAAATAGGATTATCATGTTTTTTATTTTAAATATGAGTAAATTTCTGCCAAGTTTTCTAAATTTCTGAAATTTTCTAACTTTGATATTACTAGGCTTTAAACCAAGTTTTATTTTGGTGAAGCCAATTATGGAGAAAGTTGAAATTGGCATGCAGCCATACTTAAAAAATTACCGTCCACCACCCACCACCCTGCCACTTCAGCATCGCGTGCCATCGGCATCTGAATTGACACCAGTCCATCTTTTCCGATAGGAATTGAAACTTGAAATTCTTGCCGGTGAGAAAGTGTTAAGAAGAAGCTAGGATGGTCGAAGTGAACTGGGAGCTGAAGAGCTTCTGTAACCACGATCAAAGGATCTTCCTTCTCACAATAGGCGTTTACTCCATTGTTATCCTCGTTGTATGTCTCTCTGCTTTATCATCTCCCCCCTTGTGCATATCCTACTACACTGCAGTTTATTGTGAAAGTTTTCGCTAAATAATGTAGATGTGTTAGCCGGAAGGGCAAAATAGGAATTAGAAATCGAGAAGAAAACTGTATGTAAACAAAATTAGGAGGATAAAGGCGTCTGCATTCAAAATATCTATTTTACATCATTTTGCACATCGAATTGTTGATAAAACATGGTTTCACACTTGGAAATTCACATAGAGAAAGAGCATTGAATTCATTTATACCCCCCGAGAATTAGTAGTTCTTTCAACCATTCGAAAAGTGTGGAAATTTGTTTTAGTATACTCGGAAAGTAACATCCATTCTTCAATTATCACAACAAATTGGCAGGATCAATTAATATAAAGTAACGGGGGGCAATAATAAAGAAGGAAGATGCTTTTTTATTTTATTTATAGAATTGCATTGAAATAAATGAAGAAGAAACATACATGTACAAGGGGAAAGTAAATAACATGACATACAGTCCAGGGCTGCCCAACTCTTGGGAGTCCCAAATGATAATAATCTCTCAATACCTACAGGCAAAAGGAAGCCCTTAGTTATATCAAGATCCCTACAGTCAGTACCTACTAGGCCACGTTCAGTATGTTTGATACCTGCACTGGACATGATAACACTGAACTATACATTCTGAAGCACAATGTTATTGCTACATTATTGTTGTTGAATTTTTTTTTCAGGATTAATCTTTCACTATTGATATTCACTTTGCTTATTTTTATAAATTGAAACAGCTGTGGAGAACATTCATTCTAACTCCTTTTAAGCTCATTACTGTATTTCTTCATGAGGCAAGCCATGCAATTGCTTGTAAACTTACATGTGGCCAGGTAAATGGCAGAAATCCTCTCCCTTCTCTGTATTAAAGTTTGATCGTCTGTACAATGCGAGTTTTTTTGCAAGTTCAAACCTTTGCTACATTCCATATAACAATTTCGTCGATGACTTTTATCTCTCTTGTTACAATATGAATACCACTGGTCTGTGTGTGATTGAATTTGGTTAGTTTGTTCATATTTGTGTCTTGGGGGATGGAAGCATGTTTATGCTAAAAACTAGTATTGTTTATATTTTACTTCAATCACATATGCATTTACCATAACTGTGCTGCAGTATAGTCATCCTCAACACCGTAACCCCAATTAAGTTCAGTTTGGTGAACGAAATTTATAGCATGAGTTAATTTTCTAAATTCGTTAACACTATACATTCATGCAAAAATGCAGTGACAATGTTTATAGCGAGATCCCCTTCTTGTTGCCACCTTCTAAAGAAGGAATAGTGGGATAATTTTCGAAATTGTCATCATTATAGGCTGTTTTCTCTTGGATGGGATTTATCATGAGACAAGGTGTTTGGAGATGGTTGATATAGTTGTGCCCTATTGCAAACAAGATTTTTTAATCAACATGCACATCGTGGAGCATGACTTATCACAAGGGTGCTTCTTTCTGTTTATTCAAGTTGGGTCTCTAATGCTCTGCTGATGTTCAACATATTTGTATTTATGTTGAGATTTCAAAGAAGTCCTCTTACAGTTTTACTATCAAGTTTCAAATATAGCTTACTAACCCCACATATATTGAGTATGATTTTGGGGAGAGTAAAGTGGAGTGCGGGTATTCATGTGGCGGATTGATCTCTTATCATCTTATATATCCACTTTGGAGAGGGCAAAGTGGAGGGCACACATTTGTGTGGGCGATTTGATTTTTTTCTTCTTCCTTTTTTGAGTTTTTTCTCTTTCTTTTTCTTTTATCGTTTATCTTCTTTGTCTTTTTATGTGCTTATGTTATTTTTACCTTCTAGCTTTTTTATGCTCTTTTATCTTTCTTATATTCTTATGTTATTGTTATCTTATATTTATTTATCTTTATCTTATTCGTTTTATCCTTTTTTTTCCTTCTTGCTGTCTTCTCTTTTTGGCATCGATATCATAGACCGATTCATGTTAGCCGACCCCAAAATCTTTTGAGATTAAGGCTTGGATGTTGTTGTTTGTTGTTGTTGTTTTTATCTTCTTTATCTTTTTTTGTGTTTTTATTTCCATCATTTGCAATGGTACCAAAGACTCTTTTTTGGCTTGGGAATGTGATGGAATAAAGCAAAATGGCTCACTAAACTGTTTGTGTTTCTTTGTTATGAAGCAGCAGTCAGTCCATGCAATTTTCGATGCGATTTTCACTATGGGTCATCGGTAATGATGGGTGATCTTTCTTATGTTTCTTTATCGTTTTTATCATTTTTTATTTTATACATATTCTTTATATCCTTTTTATCATATCAATTTTTTCTCAATCTTATATTTATCTTTATCTTTATCGTATCGTTTTTATCTTTTTACCATATCTTATCTTATTATCTTTCTTCTACTTTTGGATCGGAAATCGGAATGATTCAGATTAGATCAAATCAGAAAGATTCAGATCATATCAGATCAAAAAAATTCAGATCAAATCAGATCAGAAAAATTTAGATCAGATCAGAACTTATACATTTCAGCTTAGAAACATTCAGATCAACCGAAGAGAACGGATTCTAAGGCTTGGATGTTGTTGTCGTAGAGAAATTTACTTAACTATGAAATACATTTGCAAGATGACTTAGTGAGCTGAATTGAATCTTTTTAGTGCAAAGCCTGGTATTGGTACTGACTTAGCATGTGGAGAATGAATTAGTGACTCCAGTAACCACACTATCAGGTTTCCTGAAACGAAAACTTAGAGGACTGTATGTGTGAGATCAAACTGCAATAAAAAGATCTGTTTGGGATGGGCTATTTTGAATACAACACTCTACAATTAGGGTGTGTGTTGAACTGTTGATGGACAATGACTGTTATTTGGCCCATCATTATTATCCTTTATTACTGATTGCAGGTGGAGGGCATGGAAGTTCATGCAAACGAGGGTGGATCGACACAAACGCGTGGTGGTGCTTATTGGTTGATTTTGCCTGCTGGATGTAATTACTTTCTCTCAGGAATAAAAAAATGTGCTCTTACTTTTAATGATTTTTCTCTATATATCCATTCTTCTGTTGCTTCCCCACAGATCTAGGTTCTTCATTTTGGGGAATGGTTCTGATACTTGCATCAACATATCTTATGACCGCAGAAATTGCTGCCGGTTGTTTTATTGCAGCACTGGTTGTGGTACTGTTCTATGCCAAAAATGTAAGAAGCTAAAAGATGAGTCAACACGTGTTTGCAACTCTAAATATTTTCAGACAATATATTTTCTGGAGGAGAGTAGAAATCTTTTCAGTCTAGGTTATTTGTCCTTTGAGTAACTCATTTAATGTTTAAACAGTGGACGCTTCGAGGACTTTCCATTGGTAAGCACATTCAGGATCTTGATAAGGGCCAAACATGATATAGATGTACTTTCACGCGTGCACAGAAAATTTTCCTTTACAAATTCAAATTTGGCAGGATTCATCGTTTTCATTGCTTTAGTATGGGTTCTTCAAAGAATGACTGAAGTACGGGTTCTTCGCTATGTCATTCTATTCATTGGTATGGATCTATTCTATCGTGCAGGGGCGGACCAGGGCACTGGGCCGGTACAAATAATATTTTTGGGGAAAAAATTACAAGGATTTTTTTACCATTAAAATATAGACATTTTTAAAATTTGGGGTGAACCGGGGCCAGGGTTGGCGCCCCTAGCTACGCCCCTGGTATTGTGCCTATACTGCTATTTCAATTCTTTTATGCTGATAAGGAAATTTGTGAACTGCAGGTGTTATGAACAGTTTGTTTTCTGTCTATGGTACGTCCTCATCCCCGATCTAGGACTTCGAGTTTGTCTTTATAGAGAAGGCTTGTCATTAACTGAAATATTGCGTTGCAGATATATATGATGACTTGATATCGCGGAGGGTTCACTCAAGTGATGCGGAGAAGTTTGCAGAATATTGTCCATGCCCTTGCAATGGTGTTGCCTGGGGAGTTATCTGGTTTGTACTTGCACTTAAGTTGGAAATCAACCTGTTTTTTTTGTCTTCAAGTATGTGATGTTTCATTCCAATGTTATGCATGGACTGAGAATGCTAGTTCATGTAGCCGAATTCCGCCAGAGCTGTGAAGTCATCTAGATTGCATTTACTAAAATCCTCTGTTTTTGTTGATGCAGGGGGGTGATATCTTTCGTATTTCTTTGTGCAGCAGTTTACCTTGGACTTGTTATTTTATCTTGAGGTGATATGCCAAATTCATTGTGTGAATCTAGGTAGGGGCCGTGCTTCAATTCCCATCTAATTCATCCTTCCAATGTGCATTTTCAAGTACATGCAATGGTATATTACGGCCCACCATAATCTTATCCAACTATTCATTTTAATGTGAGTACTGCCTTACAACATCGTGTGTATCCACCCCTACTTATATTGATCTTAATCAATGTAAATTTACTTTAACTATTTGCCTAAATGTTGCTCATGAATAAACGGCGCAAGGCAATTGAGTGCTTTATGTTGGTCGCATTTGGCAAAGGATACTGCTTTCACTGAACTGTTATTTCCGTTGTCTTGTACTATACCAAGTGTGTGTATGTACTCTTGATGTCCATTAGGACTTCGATTGAAATTTGTATTTTAGTTTAACTGTGTTGCATGATCTTATTGGTTGATCCGGGAGTTATCATGGTCGGATTGCGCAAAGAACATGACAGATATACATGTATACATATATGAGTGATTTAGATTTTTTTTGAAGATCGGCTATGTTGATATAATAAAATTCATAAACCTTACATCTGACATATAAAAGTTGCCATACGGGGAGGGCTTAATCTGGATGTCCATTAGGCCGTTAATTGCTTCGAAACTCCTATATGTTCAATGAAAAGTCTACTAAGTCTTGGATAAACTTTTCTATATCAAAGTATATTTTGATGTATTATGTCTGTGTATTTTGTAGGGAAAATGAAAATTAATAATCCAACCTTTTAGCAGTCTTCTTACAATAGCCCCACCTTTTCGTTATTCATGAATAATCCAACCTTTTCACCTCATCTTCATTCGTTGGTCCCTAACCGGTTAATAACCTGCTATTCCAAGTTATTTTCTTATCTTTGCAAAATATTATCTTTGTGAAAAGGTGAGATTTATGGTATAATGGTTTGCAAAGATAAGAAAATAACTTGGAATAGTAGATCATCAATCGGTCAGAGACCAGTGAATGAAGATGAGATGCATAGGTTGGATTATTCATGAATAATGAAAAGGTGGGACTATTGTAAGAAGATCGCTAAAAAGTTAGATTATTAGTTTCCATTTTCCCTATTTTGTATGAATAAAAAGAATTCAAAGGCTACATATATAGATGTAGCCTACATTGCTAAACAATCTAATAAACTAGGAAAGGAAAGAAGTAAAATACATTCCTAGAATAGATGATATGCCAATAATGAATAGGCTTAATACATGTTGTCTAATATATTCTGTCCGTAATACCCCACCTCAAGTTTAGGGGTGGACTCGGGCCGGTTCGGGCCTGGTTCGGGCCTGGTCCCGGCCGGGCCTCGGGCCAGGAAAGTTGGGCCCGAGCCCGAACCGCCGGTGGGCGGTTCCGGGCCAAACTGGGCCGGGCCGGGCCTAACCGGTTCTAATTTTTTTTTTGCTCTTCTATTTAACCCCCAACCCCTCCCCCTCAACCCCAAACCACCTCAAATGGCCCAAAATACCTAATCCAATCCAAAACTTAAAAAAAATTCAAAAAAAAAAAAAAAATTAAAAACCGGCCCGAACCGGCCGGGCCGGTTCACCAAAAACTGGGCCCGAGCCCGGACCGCCCAGCAGCCGGGCCGGGCCGAACCGAACCGGTGGACCCACCAGGCCCCGGGCCGGGCCGAACCGAACCTGTGGACCCATTGGGCCCCGGGCCGGGTTGGGCCAAACAGTAACCGGGCCGGGCCGGTTCCGGGCCGGGCCGCCCGTCGCGAGTCCACCCCTACTCAAGTTGGAGCATGAGGATTCAAGATGCCCAACTTGCGAAGAAGAAATTGAAAATCTGAAATTGTGTCTTCTCAAAAGCCTTGGTGAAAATATCAGCAAGTTGAACAGTGGCAGGAACGTAACTCGAGCAATAACTTTCTCTTTGATAGCGTCTCGAACAAAATAGCAATCAACCTCAATATGTTTAGTGCGTTCATGAAACACTGGGTTATGAGCAATATGTAAAATGGAATTGCCTTGGTATGATTAACTCCAAGATTAAGAAGCGGACCTTTGAGCCATTTGAGTTCACATGTGGTGACAGCCATAGCCTGATACTCAGATTCTGCAGAAGAACGAGTGACAGTAGATTGCTTCTTCGTTTTCCAGGAAATAGGAGAGTGACCAAGAAAAACCAGCCAACCAGACAAAGAGCAGCGGTTAAGAGGACAGACCGCCCAATCAGAATCACATCATCCTGTAAGGGATAGATCACTGTCGGAATGCAGAAGAATACCTTGTCCGGGAGAGCGCTTCAAATAGTGCACAACACAAAGAGCCGCATCCTAATGAGCTTGTCCAGGGGCCTTCATGAATTGAGAAAGAACATGAATATAGTAAGTCAGGTCCGGACGAGTCACCGCAAGATAAATAAGCCGGCCAAGAAGGCGTCGATAGGGTTCAAGATCTGCAAGAGGAGGGCCTGAAGCAGTAATAGTAGAATGATTTTGTTCAATGGGAAAAGCGGCTGATTTACTGCCAAAAAGTCCGATTTCAGATAATATATCCAAGGTGTATTTGCGTTGTGTAAGAAATAAACTTGAGGGATCCCTAGCAACCTCAATACCATGAAAATAGCGGAGTGGGCTCAGATCCTTCATATGAAAGCAATCATTGAGATATGATTTAAAATGAATAGCCGCATGATCATAACCAGAAATGATTAAATCATCCACATAGACCACAACGTTCAGTTGAATAGAGAACCCTGAGTCCGAGTAAGCAAAGAATAATCTGCATAAGACTGCGGAAAGCCATATCTCTTCAGAGCTACAACCAATTTAGCAAACCAACAATGTGTTGCTTGTTTCAAATCCTAAAGATTTATGAAGTCGGCAGACAAGAGAGGGATCAGACGTTGCAAAACCCTGAGGTACTTGCATATATACCTCTTCATCCAAGTCACCGGGCAAAAAAAGCGCTGTGAACATCCATTTGATGAAGTTCCTAATTCTTAGATGCTGCAACAACCGAGAATGCACAAACAGTGACCATTTTTGCAACTGGAGCAAATGTTTCGTTATAGTCAAGTCCCTCAACTTGGCGATTGCCAAAAATAACTAACCGAGCCTTAAGTCGTTTGATACCGCCATCAGCGTGATATTTAATTTTATACACCCAATGACAACCCAAAGTCCGTTTGCTAGAAGGAAGAGGATGCATGGTCCATGTATGATTTTCTTCTAGGGCTCGAATTTTTGCGTGCATAGCTGCTCGCCATCCTACATCTTTAACCATTTCGTGAAAAGAAGTCGGTTCTGTCTGGATTGAAAGAGCTGAAAAGAATTTTTGATGACGAGGAATTGGGGTACCCGAGGGGTTAGAGGAGACAGGAAGAGCGAGGAATAAACTTTCATGGAGCATTGTATGAGTCTCGTAATCTCTGAGACGAACTGAAAGCATCTTGAGACGTTTACCACGTCCAAGATCAGGTGGCATAGATTCCAAAGAGTGACCGCATCCGACCCTTCTTGTGCAGACGTAGATGGAAGCACAACCTCCGAAGATGAAATAAGTGGAGAAGTATTGGACGGATACTCCCAGGTATCTATAATAGGCATAGCTGAGGGCTCTCTGGGACGTTAGCTAATGGTGTGGCAAAATGAATTTGATCCTCAAAAAATTTAACATCACGAGAAGTAAAATACTCATGAGTTTCCAAGTCATATACCCACCATCCTTTTTTCCCGAGAGAATAACCCACAAAGACACATTTCCGACTGTGACTCATAAACTTGTCCTTCCTAGAGCGAAGATTATAGGCGAAGCACAGACACCCAAGCACCAAAAGAGCTTGATAATCAGGAGATTTGTGAAATAAAATCTCAAATGGGGATTTGTACTGAAGGACAACAGATATAGTGAGATTAATAAGATGAGGTACAACTAAAGTTATTGCCACCTATGTCATTTATTGCTCTTACGTATTTACTGCTTCTTAGCCATTTGCTTCCATTTTTGTGTTTACTCCCTATTTCATTTATGGATCATATATTGAATACTAGGATTTATCAAAAAAATAGAAAAATTACATTTATTGTCCTCAAGTTACCGCCTCTGCCATTGACTATCATCAATGTTTTTACTTGGACTGTTTTCAGCCCCAGACCAGACCAGATCAAACTTGGATAGTTAGAACAATATAAAGAGACCAGACATTACCAGATCAGACCAGATCAGATTAGACCAGACCAGACCAGCAAATTACAGTCCAAGTAAAAACATCCTTACTGTCATTTGTGGAATTATCTCCTATTAATGTGCGAATTTATTGCCCATTTTTTATTGTCCTCTAATTACTACTTAGGTATACCAGTCAGCATTTAGGGGGTGTTTGGATCTGATTCTTAAAACTGATTCTGCTCCTTGAGGGAGCAGAAGCAGAAGCTGGAGTTTTGGGTGAAAGTGCAGAAGTGATTCTGGTGTTATAATTTACTCCTAGAATCAGTTTTTTTTAGAAGCTGGGGCAGACCAGTTTCTGAAAACTGATTTTGATTCTGCTTCTACTTACAAAAGAGGCAGAAGTTCCAAACACCCCTTACTCTCTGATGGAGTATATGGCCCGGGAACCCCCGGCCCATAGACTCCTACTTCTCCTACACAAGCCCATTAAGCCCAGGGAGCATCTCAGGCCCAAATGCAGCGGCCCAAGTCTCAAAGGAGCCCAGAATACACACTGGGGTGCCTTCGGCCCCCTTTGCCGAAGGCTCCAAATTACACAGGACAGCCAGTTTTGAGCACACGAAGCTACTGGGAGAAAACAGGAGAAAACAGGAGCCTTCGGCACTGTTGAGCCCTCGGCATCAGGGAAGCCTTCGGCTACACAGGGCCTTCGGTTACACGAAGCCCTCGACCCCACGAGGAGCCTTCGGCCAAACAGGCTCAATCATCGAAGATTCCCTTTGGAGACAGCCAACCACCGCATTTAATGCGACGTCACATCCACCCACCGCATTCAATGCGGTGAACATGCCACTGCCGGTGCCACCCGATTGATGTGACCCCTCAGCCGTTGGATTACTGACACGTGTACTCTCTTCGCATTTATTGCTGCTATAAATAGCAGCCCATTTCTCCTTGTAAACGATTCCAGATCCACACACGGAGTTCATTTAATAAAATCGACTCTCTCTCCTCCTATTTTGCTCTGACTTCTCTCTAGTTATTCCCGCAATAACCCCTCGGATAGGATACCCCCCGGGTGGACTATCCATCACTCTCATAATTATTAGTGAATACTTCTGAAACTCTAACTCTTCTCTTCTGTAACGTTTTTTTTAATTCTAAGGATATTATGGTTATTTCCCTAATTATACCATCCATGCGTCCATGATTTTAGTGATGAGCATAGGGGGTGTTTGGCAAATGGCTGTTGCCTGTTGGCTGATGGCTGATTGTGTTGGCCGATTGATAACAGCGGATTGTGTTAGTTGTTTTGATCAGCCGATAGTATTAACAGTTCGTAAAATGATGTTTGGTTAAATGGCTGCTTTCAATCAGTTGATAACTTCTTAAATGACTTTTAAGTACATCAATTAATTTTTTATTTAGCAAGTACTTTTACGTACTTATTACAAATGTTGTTAGTTATTTGCATTAAAAAATGTCATAAATTTCTCTTTCAAAAGGAAAATTATTTACATGACTAGCCCCATAACCGTATTTATGATTTACAAAAACTAAAAAATATTGTCAGAAGCAACTATTCTTTTACACATTATGTTTAATGTATTAGGAAAACCCAATATCAGGAGCCGTTGGTATAAATAGGAGCAAAGCAATTGGAATAAAAAGAATTAAAGAAACAAATTTAGCAGCGAAGATGAATTGGCGTAGAAGGTATGGGTAGATTAGAAAAATTGGGCAAAAAAGTGAATCGGCTAATCCTAAAAGCCAAGTTTTGTAGCTTTTTAAATTTTGGCTGTTTAGATAAAAAGCTAAATAAAAAAGTCATGTAACCAAACACTCCTATTAGCTGATTCAACTGGTCAAAAAGCTAAATGGGGGTCAAAATAACAAAAAAATGGATGATAGGCCACTGACCAAACACCCACATAGTCATACCACACATACAAAACATAGTTATTCATAATTTCATACATTAAGAAAACACTTTATTTTTAACAATATCTAGGTATTGAACCCTATATTGTTTTTACCCCATGGGGGGGGGGAGTGGGGAGTCTGGGGTAAACCAGGATCAATCTCACTCCATTGAGAATTGAACCCGAGACCTCCCATAAGGGAGAGTGAGTCGGCGACCAGCTGGGCCGGACCGCTTCCTCTTTAACCCTATATATTATACATTATTAACATTTTATTATATATATTAAGTACTCCTTACATTTTCATACTTTTCACATTTTCATATTAGCCAAATTAGCCACATTATCAGAATAGTTACATTTTAATACTAGTTACATTTTAACATGTCGGGCGGTAGAAAAACTGTTGATTTAGGTAATCTCCAATGTCACCGTATGAAGGAGATTTTGCAATCTCATCTTTCTTCGCAGTCCCGTGGTATACACCACGTTGGGGCAACATCTTCGTCCCAAAGTTGTGATGATTGGGAGACCAAATTTAACTCTAGAGATGCCATGTCCGATGAACAAATGACACAAATCTTGTCGCAACACCAAGGGTGGATTCTAAATCACGAAACCATTGCCGAGATTGACAAAGATTTGGAGGACGACGACGCCAAGAAGGAGCTCCCGGTGGGGGGGAGGAGGAACAAGGGGGGGATACCCTCGACGAGGAGGAGCAAGCTAAGGGACCAGCACTGGTTCATCCCAACAACCCGAACAAGGTAACACTTCCAAAATTCGTTCTCATCTTTTAAAATACGGAGTATAATTTTATCAAGGTTAAGGATCCGACAAAAGTCAAGTGGTATGTACATTGCAAATATTGTGAATAAGTATTGTGCATGGCCGTGTCGGAGGTACGACACTTGAACTCAAGACATCCCGCGGAGGCGGCTAGGACGGAGGAAATGACACGCAAACACAAATATCGAGGTTTGCAAATGATAAATCCTTTGATAATTTTGTTTATAATGATGAGCAACATTTGAAAGCAATGTTTGAATAAATATGTGAAGAAAATTGATCTTTTATTTTTTCTAAAAGTCTTTATTTGCGTGCTTATGCTCAAGGTATTTTAATGAAAACACACCCGTGATAATATTTATATTATCATTGAACGTATTTTAATTTAATATAATTTCACTGATAAGGTGCTTGCTATACAGGTTTTGATAATGTTGTTATATCTAGATTGCTTGAATAATGTAGTCCTACTTTGATGCGTAGATTTTTCATGTGTATGTAGTCCTACGTTGGGCATGTCATATTATTAATTTATGTGTGAAAGACAGCTTAGCCTCATTAGAAAATGTGATGGAGAAAGTTCAGGGGTATTAAACTTATTTGGACTAGTACTCAACTTAAACTGCACTGAAGTGCTTATTCGTAATCTAAATGTGTTAAATATTATCCTTTTCCTAAAGAATTTTCTATTCATTCGAGTAGTACTTATAAATTATTTTTTGTGCTTCTTAGATTTAGAAACCATTTAGAATCCATTTCTCTTTTTTTTTTTAAAGAAACTTGTAACTGTATTATAAAACCGATTGAGTTAGACACCATGAAAAAATTTGCAACGCGTTATTTAGTGAATTTTAAAGAATTTTCGAAGCCGATTATGTTCATTATTTTGTGATTACCTGAAAGAAAAGTTTTTAAAATATATGCCTACATTCCGCCTATATATGTCATTGCTTTCGTTCATCATCCTCGTTTCAAACTAGATCGCTATAAAACATTTTTAGAGTATTATTATAGTTGTTCTATGGTAAGGATGGACTCGGGTCGGGCCAACCGGCCCGGAACCGGCCCGGACCGGTACTGTTTGTACCCGGCCTGGTAACCGGTCTTGGTGCCGGTTCGGGCCACCTGACCCGGTCAGCTAGCGGTCCGGGCTCGGGCCAGCTTATTTGTGAACCGGCCCGGCCGGGCCTCAACGGTCACTTTTAATTTTTTTTTAATATTTAGAGACTTATAGCCGTTAGGTGGGGTCCCCGAACGGCTCTATAGCCGTTGGGAGCATAGGAAGGGGGGTCTGGGGGGTTAGGGGGGTGGGGTGGGGGTGGGGTATACAAAAAAACCTATTTATACTCCTATTTTCTATACATTTTTTACACCTACCTCTTCTTCTACAACTCTTCCTACTCTCTAATTCTCTATTCTCTCAATCTCTCATATTCAATCATCTTCATTCTTCATCTTCTCCAAATTCTTTCTACATATATATAATTTATATAATTATTATATCTACTTATATATTAATTATCTACTTATAAATATATACTTATATATACTTATACACATTCATATTATAATTCTTTACACATTATATATACTATATATACTTATACACATTCATATTTACTTGATATTTAGTTATTATCCATACTATTGTTATTTACTTATATTTACATATTACATTTAGTTAATATATACTTATATATATATATATATATATATATATATATATTAAAGTACTAAGTATAAGTGTATTACTCATCTTATAGTAATATACTTATATATTATATACTATAAAAATTATATTATATAGGAAAAATTGACAAAAATAATCTCATTAGTTATAATATATTTACACATTATATTATACTATATATACTTATGCACATTCATATTTACTTGATATTTAGTTATTATCCATACTATTGTTATTTACTTATATTTACATATTACATTTAGTTAATATATACTGGAAAATAGGGTTTTATTAATGAGGAAGTCAAAAATTACAAGAAAGGGAAGAAGAAAAACAAGAAGAAAGAAAAAGAAAAAACCCAACCCATAGTACAACATAAATCCCTCCCAAGATCACCCCTAGCCTTAGTCTTCAAAACTCCATTCTGGTTTGGGATCTAGTTCTCATAAGATGTGACCGCTGCTTCGTTTTTCTATAAATCTTAATTTGAGTGTTCAGGTTTTCTGTAGGGAGACAGTTTTCTCTTGTAACCAATAAGGCTTTGTTGCAAATATCCTGATTCATATCAGAATCCCATAAATCCTCCATCGATGAAATAGGAGTCCTTTTCCCACTTTCTGAAGCGTGGCCAAGAAAATCATCCCCCGAGTGTGTACAGAACTGCTCATAAGCTTCACTATCTTGGTCATCTGAAAAAAAGTCCCTCGAAAAATTCGGGTTCGCATATCTTGTATCTTTTTCTTCATGAACAAGTCTCTCTTCCAACTTTCCCCGGTTATTGAAGGAAGAGGCAAGAATTCTTTCGAACTCTTTGATTAAAAATTGAGAAAGTGAATCAACCCCTTGCGACATAGTAATCTGAAAGAAATCCTTAATGTGCACTAATGAAGAGTCAATTTCAGGTACAGGCTCAGAGATATTATCCTTGATAGAATTGAAAGATTTTTCAGAGGATGCAGAATGATCAATATCAACTTGTAACAAGTTTCCCGAAATAGAAAAATCATTCTGATGTGAGTGGTTTCTGCCCATGGAGATAAGATCACACTCACTATTAGAGTGCTTACCTGAAAATTCCTCACAAGAAATCTGTTCATGCACCATAGATGTTTGTTTGGCTGCGAGTTCTTTCAGTAAAGTATGAGCTCTAATAATCCCTTCCAGAAAAAGATTAATACCCCGTCCATTCCTTCCCTCAGGTATAAATAAAGAGTCGTTACCCTTTTCAATGATGCGATAGAAACCACCAAAGAAATTGGCATAAGTGTATTATATATACTTAAAGTATATATATATATTAAAGTATTAAGTATAAGTGTATTACTCATCTTATAGTAATATACTTAAATATTATATACTATAAACATTATATTATATATTACTTATAATACATTTACACATTATATAAACTATATAGACTTATACACATTCATACATTTTATAAAAGTAGTTAATTGTTAGACTTCTCATTTATCTATTAAATTAGTTAATTGTTATATTTCTCTACATTTCTCTTTAAAGAAAAAAAAAATATTAGTTACTTCTTACATATCATTTTTCATTTAATATTAGTTAAACTAGTTACTTAGTTAATTGCTACATTTCTCATTAAAGTAATAAAAAACTAGTTAATTTTTACATTTGTCATATTAATATTAGTTAAACTAGTTAATTGTTACGTTTCTCATATTAATATTAGTTAATTGCTACATTGCTCGTTAAAGTAAAAAAAAAAACTAGTTAATTTTTACATTTGTCATATTAATATTAGTTAAACTAGTTAATTGTTACATTTCTTATATTAATATTAGTTAATTGCTACATTTCTCATTAAAGTAAAAAAAACTAGTTAATTTTTACATTTGTCATATTAATATTAGTTAAACTAGTTAATTGTTACATTTCTCATATTAATATTAGTTAATTGCTACATTTCTCATTAAAGTAAGAAAAACTAGTTAATTTGTACATTTGTCATATTAATATTAGTTAAACTAGTTAATTGTTACATTTCTCATATTAATATTAGTTAATTGCTACATTGCTCATTAAAGTAAAAGAAACTAGTTAATTTTTACATTTGTCATATTAATATTAGTTAAACTAGTTAATTGTTACATTTCTCATATTAATATTAGTTAATTGCTACATTGCTCATTAAAGTTAAAAAAAAACTAGTTAATTTTTACATTTGTCATATTAATATTAGTTAAACTAGTTAATTGTTACATTTCTCATTTATAATTATTAGTTAATTGCTACATTTTCCATTAAAGTATTAATTACAAGTAGTTCGAATTTTTTTTCAAGGAAAACCAATTGTTACATTTGCTATACTCATATTTTAGTTCGAATTTGCTATAGTTTTCTTAGTCACATTTTATTATTACTATTGTACTCATATAAAATATTTGATATCATTTAATATTTGTTCAATTATAAAGATGGAGCGTGGTAGACATTCTGTAGATATGGGTAATCTCCAACGCAACCGCAAGAGGGAGATTGCGGCGACTCGTCCTACTTCACGCAAAGGCAAAGGTAAAGCGCGGGCCGAGTCTTCTTTTCAAAGTCGAGATGATTTTGAAATGGATTACCAACGGAGAGATGATATGGCGATGTCCGACGAGCAACTACAAAACCTATTGTCCCGAAATGATCCACGCTTTGCACAAGAACAACAATTTCCGACAACCATTGATGAAGAGGAGCTCGAGGATGACGATGCGGAGGAGGACGAGGGGGGCGACGGGACTCACGGCACCCCGGATGATGAGCAAGAGTTGGAGGACGAGGGCGGTTCATCCCAAGTTGGTAAGAAATCTAAATCTCTTATTATTGAAAATAATTTTACAAAAAGGAAAGACAAAAATACCGATAAATGGTACGCAAGTTGCAATCATTGCAACAAAGAGTATAGCTTGGGAACTTCTGGCGGATACAGGAGTCTGACAAGGCATCTTAAGTCCGCCCACTTTGTGGAGTATGCGAAAATAGACAAAGGCAAGAGGAAGCAAACACAAATATCGAGGTTTGCAAATTCTCAACCCTTTGGTAATTTCTCCTATGATGATCAAAAACATTTAACTGGTATGTCTCATTTAATTGTTGAAGAAAATTTACCCTATATTTTTTCCAAAAGTCTTGCTTTAAGGCAATATAACTTGGAAAAAGAAAAATTACAAACATTTTTCGCAAACTTTGATGGACGTGTTAGTATTTGTAGCGATATATGGGAGGATACTTATCATCATTTATATTATTTGGGTCTTACTATACTGCACATTATATTGATGATGATTGGAATATGCATAAACGTGTTCTTGCTTTTCGTGAATTCAATGATCATCACACTGCTGATAATATTTATATTCTCATTGAGCGTATTTTAATTGAGTATAATTTGATTGATAAGGTGTTTGCTGTAGGTTTTGATAATGCTAGTAATAATACTGCTGCTATACCTAGATTGCGTGAATTGTGTGGTGCTTCTACATTGATGGGTAGGTTTTTTCATCAACGTTGTGCATGTCATAATGTGTGTACAAGATGGGTTAGCGGCATTAGGAGATGCTTTGGAAGTAGTGAAGGGGAGAATTAAATTGATTTGGGCTAACACTCCACTAAAAATGCAATGGCGGCAATATTTGAAGGAAAGACGTGTCAATTATTGTGCTTTTCCTAAAGATTTGTCTATTCGTTGGAATAGTACTTATAACTTAATTCAAGTACTTATTAGATATAAAGATCATTTTCCTGCTTTTTAAAGACAAACTTGTAACTATATTATAAACCCGGCTGACATCGACACTTGTGAAAAAATTGTTAATGTTTTGGTATATTTTAATAACGCAACTCAAACTTTTAGTCATGTTTATAAACCTACCGCAAACGAATTTTTTGTTAAAGCTGTTAATCTCGCCGGCGCTTTTTGTGAATTTTCTGATGCCGCTTACGTTAGTTATTTTTGTGATTTTATGAAACTAAAGTTTTTAAAATATTATTCACATATTCCGCATATATATGGCATTGCATTTGTTCTTGATCCTCGTTATAAACTTGCTTACTTGGCAAATTGTATAGATTACTATTACGCTTCTTTTTTCCAACTCAAGAGTTCGATGATAATCCCATCAACCCTAAACAAGAATACAACGAGGTTAGTAATTTATTTCATCAATTGTATAATGAATTTCATGCACAGTATGGTAATGCACCCCCTCCCATGCCGCGAATATCTTCTTCATCTAAAGGAAAATCACTTTTAAAATCTGCATTTGGTTCTCTTTTGAAAAAAAGTAGAGCAACTCCCGCTACTGAACAAAGCTCAGTTAACGAGTTTTCTTTGTATCTAACATTGAATGTTGATTATGAAATTGGGGATGACTTTGACGTTCTTAAGTGGTGGAAGGAAAATGAAAGAACGTTCCCGGTTTTATCAAAGATGGCTAAGCAAGTGCTAGCAATGCCGATATCAACAGTTGCCGTGGAACAAGAATTTAGTGCGGCCGGCAACGTCCTAACCGATTATAGAACGAGGTTGAGCCCGAGCTCTCTTGAGACGCTAGTTTGCTTCCACGATTGGTTGAAGGCCCAAAGAAGAACTCAAGATATGACCATCGCTCCCACCCGCCACTTTATGGAGGAAACAACCACCGAAGGCGGAGATTCCGATTGATTTTTTATTACAAAATGTATTACATTTATTAAATACATCCTAATTCTCAATTGTACTTCTTATTTGAAATAAATATACTTGAAATTTTTTATATTATTGTGTACATCAATTCAATAATCAACAAAAAAAATTATTCAATAATCAATTCAATAAAATTAATTTGTAAACTTGTACTTCATATTTCAAATAAATATGCGTTGATTTTTTCATATGTAGCACTTCTCAAATTGATTAATTGGTTACAAACTTACAAGTTACAACTTCAAATTATTTTTATAAAATATAAAGGCTGTTTTTAAATTAAAAATACATTTACAATATGTAATTTGTTTAAATACTTATACACCTATTTTGTAACATTTGTAAATTATAAATCAAACCACTTTTCTAAGTAAAAATAGTTTTACTTAATTCATTAAATTAATTAACTTATTTTACAAAATGTATAATTTTCAAAAAAAAAATTAAAAACATTTTAAATTACAACATAGCTCCCAAACGGCTATATAGCCGTTGGGGCTTAGGGTGGGGGGCAGGGGGGTCCCGGGGGTGGTGGTGTGGGGAGTGGGGTTCAAAAAAATATATAAATACATCTATTTTCTACCATTTTTCTACATCTCTTCTCCAACTCTTCTCCATCTTCATCTTCTCTTTTTATCCTACATTCCTACTTATACATCTACCATTTTAAAGATGGAAAGTAATTCTTCTCTTATGCAAAACAATTTTGATAAGTGGAAGGACCCGAAGACCGGACTGTGGTGGGCAACTTGCAAGTGGTGCAAGAAAGAGTGTTGCTTGAGGCGTTCACACGAAGTCGGGATGCCAATAAAACATATGAAGTCATGTGACAAAGGCAAAACAACAACCAACGGTGGCGGAAATCCCAATTGATATTTATTAGAAAATGTATTTCATATTGTTATTTTTTTCTCAATTCTCAAATGTACTTCCTATTTCAAATAAATGCACTTGAATTTTGTTTTTAATAAGAATTTGTATAATAATATGATATATAATTTTTAAAAAAAATACTAAAAGGCCCGGCCCATGAAACGGGCGAGTGACCCGGCCCGTGAACCGGGCGGGTGACCCGGCCCGAACCGGACCCGGGTGTTACCCGGGCCGGTTCCGGGCCTCCCATTTCCTGAACCGAGGCCCGGCCGGTCCTAGGCCCGGCCCGGGTCCATCCCTATTCTATGGTGTGCCTATGTACGACGACAACCTTATAGATTTTCAAGCGCAATTCAACAAGGTTAGTAATACAGAGTATTTCATAATATATTCAATGAGTTTCTTGCACAATAAACTAACATACCCCCTCCCCAAAACAAGCAACTACTTCATCTAAAAGAAAAGGTATTTTTAAACCTACAATATATAATCTTTTAAAAGAAACTAGATTAACAAACTTTCTTTGTATCTAAAACTTCATGTTGAGTGAGAAGGAGAAGACTTTGACATTCTCCAATGATGGAAGGAATAACAAAGAATGTTTCTTATTTTATCAACAATGGCAAAACAAGTCCGGTCAATGTCAATTTCAATGGTTACAATGGAACAAGAGTTTCATGAAGCTGCCAACATTTTGATCAATTATAGAGCGAGGTTGAACCCACAGTTTTTTGAGACGTTCATTTGCTTCGACATTTGGTTGAAGGCCAGCCGGCGAACTCAAGAAATTAAATACCAATGTCTCACCACCACTTTATGGAGAAAATGATAATCGGCACCGAAAGCAGGAGTCCCGACTCCCGAAAAATAAGATTTTTATGTAACTATTTTCAATTGTAATTTACAAATATTTAAGTCAATGTTTCAAATATATCTATATTTCATTTTCAATGTTTAACATTTTTTGTTTATATTGCCCGAACCGGCCCGTGACTTTCTTCCTTTTGAACCAGGACCAAGTCCAACCCTAGGTCAAAGCTACAGAAGGTTGTTATTTAGTAATGCATATCAAAATATATTATCTTGTTACATCCACAAGCCTTCTGATAAGACCGTACAAAAAACAATAAACAATAATGATACAGTCAAATCCCAAAAAAAAACCATTTCCAACGAAGCCAAAGACTATCTTTTAACTTCATAATATGATGAAATAAAGCAAAATAACTCACCATACTATTTGTGTTTCTTTATTATGAAGCAACAATCAATCCAAACAATATTCGGCACAATTTTTATCATGAGTCATTCGTAAATATTCAACCCTTTACCCCACCATAAGTGAGCCTTTGGAGCATTGGGGTAATATTGTTGTAGTAGTAGTCAAATCCCAAAAAAATACATATTCAAATATATTAATGATAAAAAGTCTTGCATTGAAAGGCTGAAAAAGAAACGAGAAACGAAAAAAGTGAAGGGACTACAATACATATAAGCAAAACTTCCCACGTGTGTGCGAGCTTCTAAACCAATAATGATGCCCTGACTTAACATTTTTGCGCATCCAAGATATGATAACTCAAATTAATACTAATTTATATTTCCTTAAAAAATGACAAAATCTCAACAAAGGTGTAAATCCTTTATAGCCATTTGGCAAGTAATACCAACAATGGGTTCATTCTCACCAGAACCTGGTTGTATATGTATGTGTGTATTAGCAATCAAAAATATCATGTCGGCTGGCCACCTATTGAATATCTGTGGTCACTTCTATCATCACCAGTTTCACACAGCAGGGGCAAAACTTCCCTGTAGTAGGTAGGGATATGCAACAGCTACACTTGGAAGCAACATAGCCATCATTCCCCGACTTTGGACAGTGTTGATTATCATATTCTGGTACATAGACTTTCTTTGAACCTTCTATTTCTTATTATGATACATAATTATCCGACAAGTCTCTGCCTGTGTTCTGGTCTCGGAAATCAGTGTTTCCATGTTCATCATCTTGTTCCTTAGGAGGTTTAACTCCAATCTACATCTCTAGACCTATCCTCATCAAATACTCCATCTGCAGTAGTGTGTAAACACTCAGACGAAGATGAATGACTAACGCAAACCATTTCCACCTTAGCTTCATGAGATGGATCAGCGTCCTTTTCTTTCATCTCAATAGATTGCATACATGAGATTTGTTCAACTTCCTGCCGCAGCTCTGTTGTATCTTTCTGCTCACAATGTAAAGGTTCCTGAGTGTGGTCTGTAATATCAAGGGAAACATGGGGCTTGTGTGTCTGGTCACTCCAACTGGTACTAGCAAACTCATAGTTCTCTGCGGCACCTGTTTCATTTATGAAGGATTGGGAACTAGTAGGTGTCTCACGGTCATTATTACCAAAATCACTATTTAGAAATGATATTTTCTTTGTCAATTTTGAATCTCCCCCCATTTCGTAAGTAGGAAAACCTCCATCAGAGGAGGCAGGAAAAGACTGGAAGGTGTCCCAATCATCTTCTTCCTTTTCTAAGGAATTGTCATCAGATTCTTTTGTGGGGAAACCAGATCCAAAATTTTCCTCCTTTGCTACCTCAATTTTTGCAGGTAATTTCACAACTAAAGTTGGTAGAGAGGATTTTATCTGGTTAGGATTCTGCTCTTGATTCATAGATGCACGGATTATATCCTGAAAGTGAAATATTTGTAGATGGTGTCAGATTGTTTCACTGTTACAGGCTGAATTTAATATTTATCATCTCTGTCAATTCAATAAAAACTAGATATAATCATTCCACCAAAGTAAGAATTCATTTAAAAACAAATGCAGGGTAATAATTTATCAAGGTCAAAGAGCTGCAGGGTAGTAAGAATAGAGCTAATGAGGAAAAGATAAATGAAAGGCAACAAAAATTAAATCTGAGCAATTAAACCACATTATATATCTTAAGAATGTATAAACACAGATATATATCAGTCACATTAATTTATATAGGTTTATGTCATACAAAAATATACAGCTCGAACCACTGCAATATGACTTATAGAAAGCATGGACTATGTGTTTTAATGTTAGAGCACACATCCTCATCCCTCCTACCAGATTCTTGAGTTGAGAGAACAAATGATGAAATTACCAGCAGATTTACTCATAAGACATCAACCCGTGACCATTACATTCACGGACTATATAGAAAGCATGGACTTATAGAAAGCATGGACTATGTGTTTTAATGTTAGAGCACACATCCTCATCCCTCCTACCAGATTCTTGAGTTGAGAGAACAAATGATGAAATTACCAGCAGATTTACTCATAAGACATCAACCCGTGACCATTACATTCAGCGAGAACTCTAAAAAACAAAACCATTGTTCATGCTCTGTATAGTGGAAAGAGGAACTTTAATATTCTTTTAATATTAGCACAAGATAGTAAAAATTCACAGTTATTTCAGCATGCGGAACTGGAGGAGGTGGTGCGGTTATTAAGAAAAATGGAATTATGTGCTTGATATTGAATTGAAAAGTCAAGAATGATTTAGAACCACACAAACTTTACCAAATTTGGTATGGGACAATCTTAGTGAGACGGACCAAAAAGGAAAGATGGGACAATCTTAGCGGGGCGGAGGGAGTATATACAAATACAAAACAAAAAGGTAAAGATAATCACTTGAAGTTGTTGTCTTCGGGTTATAGGCATCGTCAGTAATACATCCTTGAAGTAGACAGATGAGGAAGAAATCTGGGCAAGTTGTGAGACCAGATTTACAGCTATGATTCTCATCTCACTTATTTCCTGCAATTTAAGTAGGCGGTTATAAGCGTATATGCACAGCTGGAAAAGTCAGATAATATGGAGAATACTGAGTGGTTAAGTGATACCTCGGAATGATCATGTGATGTAAAAATCAAGAGAATAGTTTCCAAGAGCAGATTTATAAGACCTTTTTGAGTGCCAATATCTTTTGACAGTCTCTGAAGAAGCATTAAGATTTTCAAGCATTCTCCAACAATAGCTACCACTTCCCTATTACTCAGTGTCTGTTACAAAATAACAAATATCACCCTTTAGAGTATGAATGGCCAAGTGAAAGTCATGCACTCTTGCTGGTAAAAAATACCTTTAAACTTTTAATGACTATTGTAATAATATCTTCCATAAGTTCCCCAACAAAGAATATTGTTATAGTATTTGATTCTGCAGTGGCCCCTCTTTGTAGCATTTTCTTCAATACTTGTAAGCCAATTGCTTGAACCTGCAGATAAATAACATAATTTGGTTAAGCCTGTGTTACGACTTACGGGCATGGTTGGAAAAGGAATTGAACAAGATAGAAATCAATAAAGATTAAGAATTTTTCCGCCCAAGGCAAATAATGTACAAGACTATCTGTATCGGAGTGATTGGTGAACACACCTAGGTGCAATATAAGAAGTTACCTGCATCTCAGAATCATTAAGAACAGTCCGGAAGCATTGAGTGCTATGACATAATATGGTATATAAGACCGGTTTACTTTCTCTTTTTTCTCCATGGCATTGAACATCAAATGCTACTTTAGCCAATGAAATAGATTGCTCCAAAGACATAGCAAGCTTCATGAAAAGTAGCTTTAACATATTGAGTTTTGTATTCTGGGATTGATGAATACTCTCAATACAGTCTGTAAGTAAACTAGCACTTGCGCTCACGCAAGCTCTCACAGTTGCATCAAAGAGCTGGACTTCATCATCTAAAAAGCCAGGCGAACCTGTAGTTAGAAGGAAATGAGAGTGAAGACTTTCCTATATAGGCTTTTACAGAAGCCACAATTACAGAAAATGAATTCATAACCTAAATACTCCCTCCGTCCCAAGAAATTCTTCCCCCTTTGAATTGGCACGCTTATTAAGAAAGATTGATTGAAGTGGAAATGTATGGCTGCCACACAAATCATACTGTAGAAATTCAAACCAGCTGGCTATATAGGGCAAGAATAATAATTTCCTATTATTGTGGATCTAGAGTATCTTGAGATCTTATTTCCTATTATTGTGGGTCTAGAGTATCTTGAGATTTTGTTTGATATATATGTATAGCTGTATATTTCTTTCCTTAATAGTAGGAGTAGTTCCTAGAAATCAGGATCAGTTCAAAGGGATCCTTGTGTATAAATATACCCAAATTCATCATAATACACAAGAGAGATAATTCCAAATTCTGATCTCCTTCATGGTATCAGAGACTCCGGGTACTTGAAACCCTAATCTATTCCCTGTTTTCCCATCTTCGAGCCCCTCCTCTTTCTCTCTCGGAAATCCAGTCAAACATGGTGGAATCCGAGCAGACCTCCAGGGACTCATCCTCACCGATCACTCCATCTCCCAGCAATCCTGTCACTACTCAGATCTCTCCCGAAACCATTGTCAATACCATCATCAACCACAAACTAAATGGCCACAACTATCTCCAATGGTCTCACTCCATGATGATGTTTATCAGTGGACGAGGCCGTGATGATTATCTTACCGGTAAAGCTGTCCAACCGGATTCCAGTGACCCTAAGTTTAGAACCTGGAGGGCAGAAAACAATCTAGTTATGTCTTGGTTGATTAGCTCGATGACTACTGAGATAGGGGAGAATTTCCTCCTTTACACCTCAGCCAAAGAAATATGGGACGCGGCACATGACACCTTCTCCAGCAGTGAGAATACCGCAGAACTCTTCCATGTGGAGAGTATTCTACATGATCTAAGGCAAGGGGACAACACAGTCACCACTTATTTCACCACCCTTACACGGTATTGGCAGCAGGTGGATCTCTTTGACTCACACGAATGGAAGTGCCCTGATGACAGAAGCTACTTCAAACGAATAGTAGAGACCAAACGCATCTTCAAGTTTCTAATGGGACTTGATAAGTCTCTTGATGAAGTGCGAGGTCGAATACTCGGAATCAAACCATTGCCAAGTCTCCGCGAGGCCTTTTTCCAGGTTCGTCGAGAGGAAAGCCGCAGAAGAGTCATGATGGGGCAGTCAAATGGCCCGACCACCGATGATGGATCTGCCCTTGCGACTGTCAAAGATCACTCAGTCACTACCGAGTCTGCTGCCTGTGCTGCCCGCGGGATGCTCCAATCACCAGGAGATAACCGGCCACGAAGAGGACGCCCTTGGTGCGACCATTGCAAGAAACCTGGCCATGTCAAAGAAACCTGCTGGAAACTACATGGTAAACCAGCAGATTGGAAGCCGAACAGGGCCACATCTGATCGTGAGAGCCGGGTAAACGCTGCCTCCATGGAGGCAACAAAATCCCAGAGTCAAGTTCCCTTCACAAAGGACCAGCTGGAACTGCTTCAGCATCTACTCAGCAAAACCAGCCTATCAATCAGCCCACAGCCACCGGAATCAGGGAGCAGATTCGCGCACAGTAATGGAAACCAGGCCCTACATGTAACTCAGCCTCCATCTACGCCTTGGATAGTAGACTCAGGCGCATCAGACCACATGACAGGTGATAGATCATTGTTCTCAACTTATACTCCGTGCCAGAAGTATCAAACAGTACGAATTGCCAATGGTTCACGCTCGAGAGTTGCTGGAATAGGAACCATACACCTCTCGAGCAAACTTACCCTACACTCTGCGTTATTTGTACCCGAACTTGATTGTAACCTACTCTCTGTTAGCAAAATAAACCAGGATCTTCATTGTGAGACTAAATTTTTTGCCAAATCTTGTGTTTTTCAGGACTTGGGTTCGGGGAAGGTGATTGGCAATGCTGAACTGTGTGCAGGCTTGTATCTCCTCAGAGTAGACTCCTCTTCTGTCCCCACTCAAAGCCACAATAATGGCAGTGTCAAACCACAGTGTTGGTCCATTCAGAGTCATGAGTCAATATATTTGTCCAATAAGACCGATGCCATAATGTTATGGCACTATCGTCTAGGTCATCCAAATTTCTTGTACTTGAAACATCTATTTCCATCATTATTCATTAATAAAGATGCCAAGTTATTTCAATGTGATGTTTGTCAATTCTCAAAGCACACTAGAACTACATACATGCCACGACCTTACACACCGACTCATCCTTTTTCACTTATCCACGGTGACATATGGGGTCCAACCCGAATTCCTAATGTGTCTGGGGCTAGATGGTTTCTGTTGCTCGTTGACGACCATACCCGGTTGAGCTGGACTTTTCTCATGAAAGACAAAACCGAAACTAGCCAAATCTTCAAACACTTTCATGCCATGATACGCACCCAATTTCAGGCCACCATCCAAGTTCTCAAAACTGATAATGCACGAGACTTCTTTAACTCAATTCTCAGCCCTTATCTCCAAACTTTAGGCATTGTCCACATAAGCTCATGCGTAGACACACCCCAACAAAATGGTGTGGCTGAACGCAAAAATCGTCATATCCTTGAGGTTGCTCGCTCACTACTCTTCCAATCAAATGTGCCTAAAAAATTCTGGGGTGAGGCAGTCCTCACCGCCACATACCTTATCAATCGGATGCCCTCACGTGTTCTTAAATTCAAAACTCCAGTCAAAACCTTCCTTGTTGCCTATCCTAACTCACATTTACTCTCCCAAATTCCTCTCAAAATATTTGGATGCACTACCTTTATCCACATCTACCCTCACAGCCGAGGAAAACTTGATGAAAGAGCACTCAAATGCATCTTCCTCGGCTACTCACCAAACAAGAAAGGATATAAATGTTTCTCCCCTCTTACCAAAAGATTCTATCACACCATGGATCTCACCTTCTTCGAAAATAAACCATTCTATCCTAATTCTGTAATTCAGGGGGAGACAACCACCGAACATGAATCACAAAATTGGGACTGGACATCCCTCATTGATTCGGTCCCTAGTCCAAATTACTATAATCCGGTGGAAACCCCAACCAGCCAAATTCTAACAGATTCCAGCCAGCCTCTAACCAATTCGCAACCTCGAGCAGATCCTAGCCGGCTTTCAACTCCATATGCCACCTCTCCAGGTTCACATGAGTCTCTGAAAACTCCCAAATCATCCTCCCATGAGTCTGTCATACACCCAAAACACCTCCTTCTACCTGATGAGGAAGTAAGAGTCTACACTAGGAGACAACAATCTCAGCCGCCTGCCCAGAATCAGCAAAACCAGCAGCCGAATCCGAACTCAAGAAACCCAGAAACAACACAGGATGAAGCTGAAATAAGTGTTGAGGCAATGACAGGTGGGGATCCTGAGTTAGACTTACCAATTGCTCAGAGAAAAGGAGTCCGCTCATGTACTCAACATCCCATCCGTAACTACATGACCTACTCCAAACTGTCGCAGAGATTCAGGGCATGTGTGACTGCTTTAGACAATGTCCAGATTCCTAGAACAGTCCATGATGCATTAAGGGTTCCCAAATGGAGAGATGCTACTCTAGAAGAACTCCATGCTCTAGAGAAGAATGGTACATGGGTCTTAACAACTCTACCACCTGGAAAGAAAACAGTGGGGTGCAAATGGATTTTTTCGGTAAAACAGAAAGCAGATGGAAGTATTGAACGATTCAAAGCTCGTCTTGTAGCCAAGGGCTACACCCAATCGTATGGAATTGACTACCAGGAAACATTCGCTCCTGTAACCAAACTCAACACCGTGCGAGTCCTGTTGTCCATTGCCGGGAACCAAGATTGGCCCTTATTTCAACTAGACGTGAAAAATGCCTTCCTGAACGGAGACCTAGTAGAAGAAGTGTATATGGATATCCCACCTGGCTTCGAAACTGATCAAACACAAGGCAAAGTATGTAGACTACGCAAGTCACTGTATGGGCTCAAGCAATCGCCTCGGGCATGGTTCGACAGATTCACAAGGGTACTTAAACAGGATGGCTACCTACAGTCCCAAGCCGATCATACTCTATTCTTCAAACATTTCACCGATGGTAAGATCACTATACTAATAGTATATGTTGATGATATAGTCCTCACTGGGAACTATGACGAAGAAATAAGAAGACTCAAGCTCCTATTGTCAAAAGAGTTTGAAATCAAGGATTTGGGACATCTAAGGTACTTCTTGGGAATGGAAGTAGCGAGATCAAAGGCCGGAATTGCAGTATCCCAGCGGAAGTATGTCTTAGATCTCTTAAAGGAAACCGGCATGATTGGATGTAGGCCGGCAGACACTCCTATGGACCCGAACATAAAGTTAATGCCTCGAACAGAAGAGATGGCTGTGGACAAAGAACAATATCAACGTCTAGTTGGGAAGCTAATTTACTTAACTCACACACGTCCTGATATCAGTTTTGCAGTCAGCCGTGTGAGTCAATTCTTAAGCAACCCGTCGGTCTCCCACATGGAAGCTGTGTATCGTGTTCTTAGATACCTCAAGAGGGATCCTGGAAAGGGTCTAATGTTCAAGAAGACTCACAATCACTCTCTAGAGGTCTACACAGATGCGGATTGGGCTGGATCCCCTAGTGACCGAAAATCAACTTCAGGGTATTGCTCCTATGTGTGGGGAAATCTAGTGACATGGCATAGCAAAAAGCAACAGGTGGTAGCACGCAGCAGTGCTGAGGCAGAATTCCGAGCCTTAGCTCAAGGCATTTGTGAAGGAATATGGTTAAAACGGCTACTAGATGAACTCAAAGTGAACATTTCTGGACCTATAGACATTATGTGTGATAACCAATCAGCCATAGCCATTGCCAAAAACCCGATCCATCATGACAGAACAAAGCATGTTGAGATTGACAGACACTTCATCAGCGAGAAGATAGAGAGCAATGTTATTACACTAAAACATGTTTCATCCAGGAATCAAGTGGCAGACATTCTCACAAAGGCACTCTTTCGACCAAACTTCATTGAACTAAGTTCAAAACTTGGTTTAATGAGTATATACCAGCTAGTTTGAGGGGGAGTGTAGAAATTCAAACCAGCTGGCTATATAGGGCAAGAATAATAGTTTCCTATTATTGTGGATCTAGAGTATCTTGAGATCTTATTTCCTATTATTGTGGATCTAGAGTATCTTGAGATTTTGTTTGATATATATGTATAGCTGTATATTTCTTTCCTTAATAGTAGGAGTAGTTCCTAGAAATCAGGATCAGTTCAAAGGGATCCTTGTGTATAAATATACCCAAATTCATCATAATACACAAGAGAGATAATTCCAAATTCTGATCTCCTTCACATACCATAAAGGGAAATGGGAAGAATGTTTTGGGACATCCCAAAAAGGTAGGTGGGAACAATGTTAGACGACTTGAGGGGTGGGGAGAAGAGACAGAGAGGAGAGGGAGGGGAAGACCGAAACAGACTTGGATTTTAGGAATCATAACTGATATGCATCTTCTTGGGTTGGATGAGAGTATGGCTTTGGAGAGAGCAAAGTGGAAGGCACACATTCGTGTGGACGATTGAGCTATCTTTTTCAATCTTTCCTCTCTCTTTTTCTTTTATCGTTTATCTTCTTTATCTTTTTTATGTTCTCATGTTATTTTTATCTTCTAGCTTTTTTATGCTCTTTTTTTTATCTTTTATCTTTTATCTTTTATCTTTTATCTTTCTTATATTCTCATGTTATTGTTATCTTATATTTATTTATCTTTATCTTATCCGTTTTATCTTACTTTTTTTTTCTTCTTCTTGTTGGTCTTCTCTTTTTGGCATCGATATCATGGATCGATTCATGTTAGCCGGTCCCAAAATCTTTTGGGATTAAGGCTTGGACGCTATTGTTGTTGATGGAGGTAGTATTAAAGTCCTGTATTCACCATCAAAAAAGTTGGGTTCTACTCACCAGTAATATGTATTAAAGAAGTGACGGACTGGAAGTAATCTTTAACTCTTGTAAGGCATACATCAGTTTTTGCCACTCCAGTGCAATTGTAACCAACCAATAAAAAAGCCAATAGTGACTTTAAGCGCATCTGCAGATAGCCATCATGATAACATAAGTTTAGTAATTTAAAGTTTTAAACAGCTGATGACTGATCAGTACAGAGCATTTAAGGGAGAAGTGCATAAAGCATGATATTGCGCACCTTCGGTTCAAACCGCATAAGAAGCTTCACAGCTATAGTGAGTGCAAAGGAAACCATATCCTCCCTATCTAGATGGTCTTGAGAATCTGCATCACTGACCCCATAAAAAACTACAACTATTAATAAACTACGATTCTTCAAGCCTCAAAGGCAGAAAGCAATGATTCTATGAACTAACTTCAATTTTGTCAAACCTGACAAGTACCTCAGGAATTTAAAGAAAAAGGCTAAACAAAGTTCTATGGCCTGCTCTGGAAAGTTTTCCGCCCCCAGGAACTCTTCAGGACAATGTAGAACAATCTGTTAAAGTAGTCCCAGGAGGGAAATTGGGAGGGGGAGTAGAATAAGATTTCAATAACGAACCACAACCATATACATACATATACAATCAGTAAAAAAGACCACAAGTCCTTTCTTTTCCATCATTTGCAATGGAGCCAAAGACTCACTATTTTTTGGCTTGAAAATATGATGGAATAAAGCAAAATGGCTCACTAAACTGTCTGCACTTCTTTGTTATGAAGCTGCAGTCAGTCCATGCATTCTGGACGCGATTTTCACTATGGGTCATCCGTAAACAGTCTCTCTGTGCTTTAGTACAGGGATAAGACTGCGTACATCCGACCCCCCCTTACCCCACCGTAGGTGGGAGCCTTTGCGGCACTGGGGTGATGATGATGATGATATGTTCTGATTTTCCTTTGCTTGAAACAGAAAATATGCTCCCGAAAGTATTTCTCCTTGGCACCATAAGGAAAAATAATTCCTTCACTCTAAACTTTTGTGGGATATGACCCCTTCTAGAAAACAGGAAAAAACTTCCTTGAAACTTTATTTTTTCACTTTTTCAGCTCAAGCATTATATTATACATAGAATAGCTTATTTTCCAGGAAAATGTTGTACATGACACGTCTTTATGGAAAGAAACAAAGCCTTAAACAGTAGTCCATTAGCCCATTGTGTGTCTTTATCATGGGATAGATACAAGCTAATTAGCTAAAGTCATTACCTACACAGAAATTGACATCAATAAGGTAAAGTTGGATGAAGGGTGTGTGTGCAGTATCCAGTTATGAATAGCAAATAGCAAAGTGAAAAATTAATAATGTTACAATGAAACCATATTTTTTAAGGAGGAGATCTATAATTATATCTCATACTTTTTTAATGTAAATACCTGCGACAAAACTGACATAGCAAGGAAGTCCCATGCTCCACTCCCACAAATGGAAAATGTAAAGACCTGAACCCATTTGAAACAAATGGTTAGAGTTGAAATTACACACATCAAAACAGATTACACTACTCAACAAATTCCAAATCCTATATTCTGTCCTTGACTACCATTGCCTACTTCCATTACTAAAGCAATCAATACTTCGTCATCTCCAATTGTGCTTTAACACGGCGAATATGAAAATTACCAAAAACTCAAGAAAACAAATCTTACTCAAGGCATGTCTAGAGCTTGTGTTTCAAACATTTAAGGTCCGTTTACTAACGGAGATATTTTCTGGCTATACACAGTCAGGGTTGGTCCTAATGGCATGATAGACCGGTTCAAAGCCAGGCTTGAAGCCAAAGGATACACACAAGTGTTTGGAATCGACTATACTGATACATTCTCCCCTATTGCAAAAATAGCATCAGTTCGCACTCTGCTGGCTATTTCAGCAATACGACAGTGGCCGTTACATCAATCGGATATAATAAAATGTATTCCTGCATGGAGATCTGATGGAGGAGGTTTATATGGAACAACCTCCGGGATTCATTGCTTCTGGGGGAGCAGATCCAGTTTGCCGCCTCAAACGCTCGTTGTATGGGTTGAAGCAGTCCCCTCGTGCTTGGTTTGGACGTTCAGTGTAGTACAAAAATTTAACATGATTCAAAGTAAAGTTGACCATTCTGTATTTTACAGAATCCAAAAGGGTTTAATATCTACCTTGTGGTTTACGTGGATGATATTGTGATTACGGGTGATGACGTAGAGAGAATAAATCTTCTTAAGAAGCATTTATTTCAGAATTTTAAAACAAAAGACGTCGGCAAATTGAGATACTTTCTAGGTATTGAAGTTGCAACAGTCAAAACAAGGTGTGTACATATCACAAAGAAAGTATGTTTTAGATATTCTTGAAGAAGCTGGTATGATAAACTGTAAGCCATTTGATACACCGATGCATCCTAATGACAAGCTTCTACTGGGACAGGGTGGCCTTTTTCAAATCTCGGTAGATATAGAAGACTTGTTGGAAAACTTCTTTACCTCATTATAACACGTCCTGACATCTCATTTGCTGTAAGTGTTGCAAGTCAGTTTTTACAATCACCGTGTGAGAGCCACTGGGATGTTGTCGCTCGCATCTTAAGATACATTAAAAAGCACCAGGTACAGGGTTGTTATTCCAGAATCACGGACACACAGAAATTGTGGGCTATACTGACGCAGATTGGGCTGGGTGCCCATGGGATCGAAGATCCACCACAGGTTATTATATACTTTTAGGTGGAAATTTGATTTCTTGGAAGAGTAAGAAACAGGAAGTGGAGGCACGATCAAGAACAGAAGCTGAATATCGTGCGATGGCTCTAGGAACACGTGAGCTAATTTGGGTTAAGAATCTTCTTTCCGAACTCAATTTCTGCAAATTCAGACCCATGAGGTTGATATGTGATAACCAAGCAGCCCTACACATTGCAACAAATCCAATTTTTCATGAAAGAACCAAGCATATAGAAGTGGACTGTCATTTTGTGAGAGACAAGATCAAATCTGGAGATATCATCACTACTTTTGTGAATTCAAAGGATCAATGGGTAGATGTGCTCACTAAGTCTCTTAGAAGACCAAGAATAGATTATATATGTAGCAAGCTTGGAGCCCATGATATATATGCTCCAGCTTGAGGGGAGTGTTGGAAATAGCATTTAAAGCATATGCTTTTTTATATTCAGACTTTCCAGCAGCTTAGCTTTTCATTTTCCTTTATGAATTTTAGTTTTCTTTTGTCCTTTAATGTATATTTACTTCCCTATATATATGGGAGTCATGATGTATGATCTGGAATAAGTAATACAAAAAGCTTCTCTTCCTAAATCAACAGTCCTCTTATACATCTACTTGTAATAATCCTCAGTCTTGTAATCCTTTAGTTGACTGTAATCTGTGGCATTTAAGATTAGGACATCCTCATCTTGAGGCCCTACAATCTGTACTCAGACATTGTAATGTTCCTTCTATTAATAAAAATAATGTTGAGTTTTGTTCTGCTTGTTCTCTTGGGAAAGCACACAGGTTACCACCTCACACTTCTACAACTCAATTTCATTCATCTTTTAAACTAATATTTATTGATCATTGGGGTCCAGCTCCTATTTTGTCCTTTGATGGTTATTCTTGTTACATTTCATACATAGATGTCTTTACAAGGTATATGTGGATCTATTTTCTTAAAAAGAAGTCTGATGCACTCACAAAATTTCAAAATTTCTATGCGTATGTTCTTAACCAATTCTCTGTCCATCAAATCCATTCAATCTGATTGGGGAGGAGAATTCAGATCCTTCACTCAATTTCTAACATAAAAAGGCATCACACACAGACTTATTTGTCCTCACACATCATCGAAATGGGGTTGTGGAAAGGAAGCATTGCATTATTGTTGAAAAAGGTTTGTATCTCCTTGCTCATTCTTCTTTACCCTTTAAATTTTGAGACACTGCTTTTGCCACATCTGTTCATCTCATAAATAGGACTCCATCTAAATCTATTGCCAACTCCAGTCCCTATTTCAAACTCTATGGGTCCATACCAGATTATTTCTTTCTTAAGGTCTTTGGTTGTTCCTGTTATCCATTTATTAGACCTTATAAAAGGCACAAAATGGATTTTCTAGGCTATTCTTCTCAGAACATAGGTTATAAATGTCTCTCCCAGTCTGGAAAAGTTTACATCTCAAGAGGTTCATGATTCCAAATTTCCATATTCTGCTCTATTTCCACCCACCACCTCCAATTCTATCCCAAATCCATCTCTGACTTCTGCTCCTATCACTGTCCTTTCACCACAGTTATCATCCACACCTATCATTCCCTCATCACAAATACAGGTTTGATAGGCTTATAGGTGATCAGCCTATTAAATACTTCAATAAAGTCTATAATAGGAGGAATAATGGGGGTAGCCAGTAATTAGTTAATGAGTCTGTTAACTATTAATAAATTCCCTGCGTGGAATATTACTATAAATAGAAGTTTGTTATCCTAGTAAGGCAGGTTGTTGCTCTGAATAGTTGGATGTCAGGAGATTGGGCTTCTCGAATAGTCCTTGAGCTTATACGACCTACCTGGAGTTCTCTCTTTCAATAAAATTCTCTTTGATCTGTTCTTACATCACTCTGCAGATTGGATATAGTTTGCTTAGCTAACATCATCTCTTGGTGGTCCAAGAAACAATTGCGTGTGGCCCGACTCTCAGCAAAGGCTGAATATAGAAGCCTTGCAGATACAGCAACAGAACTGTTATGGGTCCAGTTCTTGCTGAAGGAACTTCAAATTCCTTTTCATACTCCTAGAGTTTATTGTGACAACTTAAGCACAGTTTAGCTAGCTCATAATCATGTGCTTCACTCTCAGATTAAACACATAGAGATTGATCTCTTTTTTGTCAGGGAAAAAGTGCAATCTAAGCCGCTTGGAGTCTACCATATTCCAGCTCTTCATCAACTTGCTGATGTCTAATACATTCCAGTAGGTAAAAGGCTGAATGAAAGTTCATAGTTCATACGCAAAGCAGACTGGAGGCACACTTATACTATTATTATAATAATAATAATTATTATTATTCAAGAGTTCTGCTTATCTCTTGTAGATAGGAGAGGATAAGAGAGATAAAGAGAGAAGCTCTCAACTTTATTATTTGTCATTCATTTCTTATCCAATCAAACAGAAGGAACAGGATATAAATAATTATACAGGTAGCAGACTAGCAGTGACTCAGCCCTAATAGTTCTGATAATTACAATACTACCCCTCCATGCTAAATAAAGTAAACAAATAAGGAAAACTAAAACTCAGGAATCTTCACTCCCCCTCAAGTTGGATATGGATATCAATCATATCCAGCTTGCTCTTCATATTTTCGAATTTGTTCTTTGGAAGGGCCTTGGTGAGAATGTCGGCAACTTGAAAGTCTGTTGGAATATGCGATAGCTCTAGGATTCCAGATTCTAACTTTTCTCTTATAAAGTGTCGATCAATCTCCACATGTTTAGTGCGATCATGATGAACTGGGTTTCTCGCAATTTCATTTGACGCTTTATTGTCACAGAATAACATCATCATTCTGTTATTCAAGAGTTCTGCTTATCTCTTGTAGATAGGAGAGGATAAGAGAGATAAAGAGAGAAGCTCTCAACTTTATTATTTGTCATTCATTTCTTATCCAATCAAACAGAAGGAACAGGATATAAATAATTATACAGGTAGCAGACTAGCAGTGACTCAGCCCTAATAGTTCTGATAATTACAATACTACCCCTCCATGCTAAATAAAGTAAACAAATAAGGAAAACTAAAACTCAGGAATCTTCACTCCCCCTCAAGTTGGATATGGATATCAATCATATCCAGCTTGCTCTTCATATTTTCGAATTTGTTCTTTGGAAGGGCCTTGGTGAGAATGTCGGCAACTTGAAAGTCTGTTGGAATATGCGATAGCTCTAGGATTCCAGATTCTAACTTTTCTCTTATAAAGTGTCGATCAATCTCCACATGTTTAGTGCGATCATGATGAACTGGGTTTCTCGCAATTTCATTTGACGCTTTATTGTCACAGAATAACATCATCATTCTGTTATTCTGAATGTTTGGTTCTTTCAGCATTCTTCCTAACCATATCCCTTCACATATTCCTTGACACATTGCACGGAATTCAGCCTCAGCACTACTTCTAGCTACCACAGATTGCTTCTTACTACGCCAAGTGACCAGATTACCCCACACAAAAGTGCAATAGCCTATGGTGGACCTTCCATCTACACAAGATCCTCCCCAATCTGCATATGTGTAAATGGTTACTCCTCTTTCAATGGATTTTTTGAAGCAGAGCCCATATCCTGGGTTTTTCTTTAAGTAGTGAAGAATCTGAAACACTGCTTCCATATGGCGAACTGTGCGAGTGTTCATGAACCTGCTCACCATACCAACAGCAAACCCGATACCGGGTCTTGTGTGTGCGAG